TCTATGGTCTCACTGACTTCCTGAGGTGACGCTGCATCACTCTGATAGGTCACACATTCAACAGGTATCTCAGCAACTCTAGCTACTGCGTGTTGGGAACTCTTTGGTTCATGTGATGAAGTATTAGGGGCCTCCTTCAGGAGTTTCTGTATGGCAGAACTTAATCCACTGGGTTTGGATGGAACAATCAACCTCTCTATGGTCTCACTGACTTCCTGAGGTGAYGCTGCATCACTCTGATAGGTCACACATTCAACAGGTAACTCAGCAGCTCTASCTACTGCATAGTCTGAACTCCTTGGTTCACGTGGTGAAGTATTAGGGGCCTCCTTCAGCAGCTTCTCCAAAGCAGAACTCAGTCCACTGGGCTTGGATGGGGCAACTGACCTTTCTATGGTCTCATTTACTTCTTTACAATGAGCAATATCCTGTTGTAATGTTGATTCTACATTCGAGCTAATTTGTGATACAGGATTCATTTTATCACATATTGTCATTCCCACCCTTCTAGATTGATTTGCTAAAGTTTCACTGTGCAGTTTCTGCAAACCATCTTTATGTTTGTTATTTTCATGATTTGTTTGAATTGTATTTTTTGCAGTTTCATTCATGTCATCGTATTGTTTGTCAAACTGCTCTTGATTTTGATAGCCAACTGGTTTTCCCCTCTTTCCAGAGGACCACAATAGAGTTACCTCTTTGTTTGTTTTCTCCAAATACGTAACTGTTGGTTTTGTCACATTCAGACCTTTAAGGGGAGGTGATTCTAATGGCAATTTATATATTGCAGGATCTAATTTCTCTATTTTTTCTCTTTCAGATTCTTGTATTTGCTGTTGATTTAAGTCTTGCTTGCTCAGGTTACCTCTGCCTTTTTTATCTTCCTTTGATTCTCCTTGGTATGTTATTGAACTATCATGACTTGGCAAGGAAACATCTCCCTCAACCATCTGGCTCTGTAATTTCACTTCAGTATTCCAGAAGTTTCTCAAACTCTGAAAATGTGAAGGATTTGAAATTTGATTCTTGAAATTTTGATCCATTTTTTCTTTTAAAGACCAAACTTTGAAGTTGGGCTTCTCTTGGGAACAAGAAACATCTTTTCCTTGAATCATTTCTTTCTCATCTTTATATTGGCGTTCKGGGGAAGATGAACTCACATCAACCCTTGGCTGTAGGTTATTAGGTTTTGGTGGTTTTGGACATCCATGAACTTCACCATCAGACAGAAGCATTATTTCTAATTTTTCAACTGCATGGTCYGCCTCAAACTCAAAAGACTTTTGGTGTTCATTTCTTGAAGGCTGGCTTATGTTACTTAATTCAGTTCTTTGTAACATATTGTTGCTTTGATTATCCAATCCATTGGATAAGTTTACTGCTGTAGGTTTTATTTTGTCACTTTCTTTGAGGCCTCTTACCGTGCTGTTGTCTGACGTGTTAACACTGATCCCAGCTTCTTTCTGTCTGGGACCAGGGATAGCTCTTTGCCAGAATTCTCTGATCTCCTTTAGTCTTCTTTTTTCTCTAATTGCCTTCTCTGATTCACATGGCTGAGGTGGCTGCTTCTTTTCTTGATGTTCTAAGAGACTCGATTTTTTGCTTTGTTGCATGATTTCTTGATCAGATTCTTTTTCTTCAGCTTTTCTAGAGGCAAATCCAGTTTGTGATTCCTCACTTTCTTTATCATTCTTTTCCCCTTGCTTAGGCTTCCTCTTCTCTCTTATCAACTGTGTGTCTTCTCTTTGGAGAAGAGCTTTGTCTCTTCTCCAAAGAGGAGAAACACTTCCCATTTTTTCAGTCTTTCCGAACAGTGACTCTTCTGTAACTTGGGTTTTTCCATCCACATAAGGCCCACTATGATCTGTAGTAAGAACTGCTTTTCTGCTGGAGAAGTCCATGTCCTCTTTGGATTCCCTGCCTTGCAATCTGGCCGGTTTAGGTTTCCTATCCCCAGCACCAGAACTTCTTTTAAACCAATCTAATATTTTTGATATAGGTTCATCAGATGCTTCCACAAGTTCAGCAGCATGTTTGTGAGGCTTGCAAGTGTTTCTAGCATCTTGTTCCTCAACAAGCACAGGCTTACCTTGCTCAAGACCTGCAGAATTAGTATTTGACACCTCACGTGCTTCTGTCTTAGCAGAAAGCAGATGTCGGTCTGCAACATAAATACATTTGTCAGAGATAGGAATGGGACATTAGACTGTAAATTCATCTCAAAAATATCTTTCAGTTTTTACTCTTTTATCAGAGAAGAGAGTTCCCTGTGTTTCTGGGAAGAACCATACAGCAGGCAATGAACTGGAAAAAAAAAATCTTGCATTAAGATTTCCTCCTTGAAATATAGTTATATTACTTTGTTATGGGTGGGGGAGATAAAGGGGAAAGAGGATGAGTTAATCCCTAACATAAAGAAAATAGCAAAATAGAAGGGGCAAGTGGAAGGATGCTTGTGTTTCGTTACATGGGTACTATGTGGGTAGTCCCCAAGTCACAACTGCATTACTAGCAAGGACAATCACCAACAAGACTCCAAAAATTCTTCAGTTCTCATGCAGACAGAACTATCAGATCTTGAGACAGAAGTGCTGACTGAGTGCCATCACTTCACCTTCATTTTCCATGATAAACGTGCCTAGCCAGGATATGATCTGACTGTTAATTGTTAAAAGAAAAAAAAAAGTAATACAAGATCTTAATATACTGACCAAATAAGAGCATTAGAATATAAACAGTGGCTTAAGAAAGTCTTTCTGAAATATGTAGCACATTCCTATTATTTCCGTTTCATAGTTAATAATTTCTAGACACTAATGATTTGAAAACAAGTGAATTTGGACTAYGTGTCCAGGCTTTTGCACTCTGTTCATCAATTCCATCAGTTCTCTTACCAGGGAAGTTTTTTAGTGCCTTTGGTTCATTGCTTAACAATGGCTTTGATTTGTTTTCAGGCATCTCATCAACGATCAGTTCTTTGTTGCTATTTGGCAGAACAGTGCTGGAAGGCTTCTCTGGAGTTTCAGGTTTCTTAGAAGGAAGTATCTTTGTCTGCAAGGTTTCACTAGCCAGGAAGACTGACCTATTACTGTCAGGAGGACTGGATACTGAGGTATCTTCTTGTGAGCCATCTATTTCATTTACTTGTAAAGCTGATGAATAAGTGCCCAATGGTTTTACAGCAGAAATTTGTTTTTTCTCAAGTGAATCTGATTGGATAACATCATTTTCACTACCTTTCATTTCATCAGTTTCTAATAAATCAAACTCCCCTATTTCTCTGCCATGATGCAGCTGTGGGCTGTGTGGAGGTTCTCCTTTAGCTATGCTAGAAGAGAACCTGACTTGTTTTAGCCTTTCCAGTGAAGCTTGTGAAGAATCTTCCACTTCCATAGGAGAGCTCTTCTCAGCTTCTCCTTCAAAAATAGTGGAAGTTGGAAGACCACTCTTAGTCTGAGCATCAAACATCTGATTAACACGAAGAACTTCAGAATCTGTGGAACTGGAACTTGAACTGCGCTTCAAAATACCCCTAGCTGGTGTACCATTAACCCTGCCAGTCCTTTTAGCTGGTTCTGGAACATGTTCCTTTTGTGACATCGGATCTGCTGCTTTCTGAATTAATTTTCTAGCTTTTGGGACAGGAGGCTTAACTGGACTTCTCTGTGATTGATTAGTAGGTTCTACACAAGACTTCTTAGACTTCTCCATTTCGTTGTTTAGTAAGTTTGCTTTAGGTTGATTCTCTTTTGAAGGTGACAAAATTTCTGGAAGACATGGAAGAAATTCTGAGTTTATGTGACATTCACCTGCATCAACAGAAAGGTAGGACAATGTGCAGMCCCAGAATACAACAACTGTATTCATTTATTGAATGAATTGAATACACTTTACAATGAAATACACCAAAGAATTCTATATAGGTGTTGATTTTGTTTGTGTATAAGAGCAGGGCTTGACAGATGAAAATCCTCTAGTTAACATTTCTAGAATAGGATTCTAACGAAAGGGAGCAAATCAAATCAAATCAATCAATAATCAAAACAATTCCTGCAAGGGAAAATCTCTGCAGGGCAGGTTTTTGAGTGCATGAACACTTTTTCAGGTTCAGAACACAACACTACAGAGATGAGCAGGGGATTTTCACCTTCAAATGGAAAAAGGTAAAAATGCAGGAGTAAAGGGTGTGTGTGTGTGTGTATGTATGTGTGTGTGTGTGTGTGTGTGTGTATATATATATATAAAATCTAATGTGCAAGAGAAAAGTGAAGAAAGATTAAGAGGTGAGTTTGACCCTTCTTCTGTAAGGCCAAAATGATCAATGACTAATTGGCATTTACATCAAAAATCAAAGAAAATTCTGTGTCCTTCAAGACAAAACTACCCTCTTAAACATTGTTTAAAGCAGACTAGAAGTATGGATAAGGAAAAGGATGCAAAACATTTACTTGCATGAACCAGCCATTTCTTAAGTATACATGTTTTACATGAACTATTTGAAAATTCTAAGTTGTACAGTTAAGATATCAAAATCTGTTTCATCTTACAGTAAGAAGTGACAAAAGGAAAAATAATTTCCATACCCACCATAATGAAACTCACAAGCATATGATATGCAACTAAGAATATTTACCCTTCTTTGACAACTGAAGTAGGCTGACTGGTCCATTTTCTGATTCTCCGCTGTTTGGGTTCTCACCCAATGAAGTGGAATTAAATGGATTTCTCCTTTGCTAAAAAAAAAAACAAAAAATAAAAATCGACATTATTAATGGAGTCAAAATATGCCCAATATAGTAAAATAAAAGAAATGGCAAAATAAAGGAAAGTGCAGCAATTTCCTCTGCCTCACTACCCTGTCAGTATGGAGTCTAAAAGCATGCCTCTTATATAGGATACATGACAAGAAGTCTAAGCAATTTAAATTAGTGAACTATCAAAAATGACAGCAGTAGCCCAACCCTGCTCTTTTTGAAGGCACCAAACAGCAGACATAGCCCAATACTTAATGACACTTCAGAATCAAAAGTTCTTGTGAACTAGATAGTTTTCTTTCTACATGGTTGAGGAGACTGGAAACAAAATCAAAACACAACAGCCACTGATTACATTTACAATTGCACTTGAACATTAAACTTCTTGTAGTTTCCTTGATCTCACTTCAGGACAAAATACATTCAAGTTTTCCTATTTATTATGTTTCTCCCTCATTTCTCTAATTATCTTTACCTTTACCTTTATGTTTACTGAGAAACACACAAATTTAACAAGTTAAAATATAACTTCTGCTATATTCACTATATCATACCTTTACTGGCGAGACTGCTGCCTTCCCAGATTGTTCCTGTGGTTTGTCCAACACAGAGGCTGTTATTTTAGAACTGTAAGGAAAGAGTAAATAATRCAGTCAGCAACCACGACATTAAGTCCAAACTACTCCCTCCATCATCTTTACTTGCAGTGCCAATATAGTATATTTTTCCATTCAGTCTGTTTTCACCATATTTAGAAGCAAGCTTCCCTCTTTCCATAGCAAGGGGATATTCTTGCTGCTTTCCTTGCAAAAATATCTCTGCTTGCAAAAAAAAAAAAAACAGTATAATTACTACCTGACAGAAAGGCATTCTTCTTTCTGGTATCTTTTAGTCTTTTAATTGAAATACAGCCATTTTCCAAATCAGATCAGTATTCATAATGATACTGTCCTTTTCATACAGTAGTACTTCTAGGGCTGAAGTTTATGTGGAGGAAAGTGCTAAAATCTGMCGAAAATAAGGCGTTTTGCAAATTGTCCGAGCCAGAAAAACAAACAAACAAACAAACAAAAACCCAGAACAATATCACTACAACTATACCAAAACCAAGATATGCCACAAAGACTGTTATGGCCCCTCAGTGGTATAGATTATACGCTATTCCTTCAACTACAATCCTGTCAACCACAGGCTTTATAAATAAGAAATTCAGTTATTAATTGTGATCCTACCCAAGTACATTCCCCAAAACTTTAAAAATCTAGCAGTATTTCTTCATATAATGTAGAGACATTCATGTCTATTTGAAAAACAACACAAGATTTCTGCAAAAGAACGAGATTATATTTATATAGTGAATTTAAACAACCGAGACATATGAGAAAACATTTTTTAAGACAGAAGTTAGATGTGGATTTAAATACGGTTTTCATATAGCGAAAACATATAAATATATCAATCTAAGATTATCCATTCATCACAGTCTACTAACTTCATGTAGAACAATGCTGGCATTAATCAGCTTACATGATTATGCTTTTTCGGGTGTGGTGAACAGAATGAGGCAGGAAAAAGGAATATTCTCCAGGTAAGAAATACGACCTCAGGCTAGGAAGGAAAGCAACTAGTTGGGTTTTTTTTTTTTTTTTTTTCCCCCAGTATGGTTGTACAAGGAAACTGACACCGAATACTTCCTTGGTCAAAAATATTTGGAAGTGGTGAAAATACTTTTGGCTATTAATTAGTAAGTAGCAGAGCCATGAGGTAACACTTCCGAGGACACATGTGGTATGAAGAAAACAGAAGAAAACCGCTCCCCGATCTTAYGAAGCTCTGGATTCAGCAGCCTCCTCCTCACACGGAAAAGTGTCACTCTGCCCTGCCAGGGAGGGAAAAACTTTCCCAACTCCTCCGAGTTTCGGCACGTCACCTCCCAAGTGGGAAGGAATCAGCTGGCGGCTGCCCTTGAAAGGCTACCTGCCTCTGCACGAAGTATGGCCAAGAAGTGACATTGCTCCCATTTTACAACGGGAAAAATATAATGTGAGGATCTAGYAGAAATAAGCTTCTTGAACACAAAACTATTAAAAAAAATACAGGGCTGGTGTGAGCAATAAATTTCTCTCTCGACGTTTTGGTTCAACATTAACTGTATAAAAGACATCTCTACACACTGTGATACAAACTTGATCTTGAAACAGAAACCATTTCATAGGTGAACAAAGTAAACTCCTCATATATTAACAGTAAGGGCCTGTATATATATCTATATATACATGTGTGTGTGTGCGCACATATATAGATATACACCTATGCATGCACTTTATACATGCACATATACACCAGGCAGAGCAGATAATTTTTTTTTCTTGTCTACCCCTAAAAATTTTCTCTATTTCTCCAACAGCTCAGTATTGCTTTAACATTCTTTAATCCTGAAAATACACACATTTAAAGAATCTCTGTTCTGTTGAGYTGGGGTTCGGGGTTGTGTCTGTGTGAGCATTTGTAGGCTCCTGCACCTGATGTCTTATCAGCACCATTATATCTACAGGTCAAATATGATTTTTTAGGTCTAGGTTGTGAGCACTACAACCCTTCCCTCATTTTAAACAACAGCAATGCTATTAGGTATTCTGGGCTGCAAGAAATTGATAAGACATTCTTTTATGTATAGCTTCTACAGATGGGGCAGTAATTTTTAAAATTCTCATTAAATGCACACGATCCCATAGYACTTCAATATAATGATACTTCAAATTTATCACAGAACTACAGCGTTGCTATTTTGGCATTATATATTGACGATCCCACTGTAAAGAATGCATAAGCTGGAAAAAAATCAACAAAAGTTGATTTTTCACAACAAAAGGTCTGAGATAATGGGTTTACCCTCAGCCCATAGAGAGGAGAAAACAGAACAAAATTCCCAGACGTGCTGCATTGATAGGGCCAGTCTGAGAGTGCACTGAGCCAAGCTAACAGCACCAACACACGAAGGAATCAACTGCACTGCAAATTCGCAAGACCAAGTTCGGAGAGACACAACGCAGAGACACTCAATCCGCAGAATGAAAAACAAAAAACCAACACGCTACAAACCATAACCTGAGAGGCAACAACCCCTTCAACACTGCCCTTTGCTGAGATTCAGCTCGCAGACGGATGATATCACTGAACAGAGACAATATTGACAGTGTGAGTCACACCGTGAAACTCATCCCATGCCAGGTTACACCTTCAGAGACGCTCCACACACCCAGCCCATGAAGGCTCTGGCATGTAAGAAAAGCATCACAAGGGATGTAACGGCAACGAAAAATTTGTTCATCGCTTCATTACCAGAGTTAGATATTTTGGGTGTGGGGATGAAGATAACTATCCTCATTTCAAGATGATAATTGTGGACTGATTTTTGTTAGGCCTCAGGTAACACCCTGACTTGACAGTAGCAGAACAGGCCACAAAGCTGAATTTGACCTCAGCAGCTCACGGGCACAAATCTCCTACCAGAACTGCACTGTTTTCCCTTTCAATAATAACTGTTTTAAGAACAGGATCCAAAGCAAGCAGTTATCTAGGCAATTTGCTGTCCCATACCTTTTGGGCCTAGTCTTGAGGTCCAGCTCTTTGGTTCAGGCAAAGCCTGCAGGCCAGTGCAGACCAGATGCCCGTTCTCAAAGGCAGGACGGGAAATAAAACAAAACAAACACCACCCTAAAAATCTATCCATACATTAATACTTGAAAATCACAAGTGCATGAAGCACCTGCACAATTTGCACACTGGAAACTCTTGTTCTGAGCATGCATTAGCTGAGGAATTTCTGGCGCATTTTGGAACAAATGCACCACGCCAGAAAGKGTCCTGGACAATAATTATGATGCTTCACATGGGATTAGAGCTGTGACCTGAAACAGTCCTCAAATCATCTCAAGTTAAAGACCATGATCAAGTCGATGGCTTTCAGAGCACAGTATCTGCATTTGGCAAAAGAAAGGAGAGAGAAAAGGAAAAGAAGATAAAAAGCCAGTCTATTTTCATAATGCTCTCTCAGAAGCACAGACTTGATTAACTTCATCTTAAACCTCATCACKTTATAATTTTCATGATGTGCAGTTGTCCAAAAGTCTCTTACTACTTTATCAATCACACATAATCTGTTGTGTTGCAATAGATTCTGCAACATTATCAAGCTGTATTTATTTTAGAGTATGATTTTCTTCCCGCAGTATCCTAGATAGCATGTAAAGCACTAAAAAATATTAATTTTAAAGAGCAGCATGTCTTTTGCTGCTCATAAATAAATAACTCAGTCTTCTGAATTATTATACGCAATCTTCTGAAGGTAAAAACCAGCTGTTTAAAACTCCACTCAGTAACATCTAATTATAGCAGCATTATTGGCTAGCATTTCTGGGATGGCCTTAAGGTTCTTCCTGCAATGAACAACTTTAATCATCACTAACTTCATGAATAACTTCATCCCTTTGAGAAGACTGTAATGAAGGAGTTTTTAAGTTGACCTTTTTCAGCAAGATTTTACATGTTGGTAACATTTTCAGTTCACTCAAAATGGTATGCAAAGGAGTAAAGATCAGCAAGGCAAGCCAGATTTATTAAGAATTACACCAACCTTTGGTGCCATTCATCGTGCAGGAGGGTGCTCAGCTTGCAGATCATGAAAGCGAAAGCTGGAACTGCTACAAGGTTTTGTACAAATGCATAGTAGCAGACAAGCCCTGCTGCAAAGGAAAAACAGGTGACCCACAGAGAAGTACTTAAGAGACAGGGAAGAAAGTGAAAGGTAACAGAAGTGAGCAACAGCACAACAGGAGAAAAACAGTCATCCTAAAAAGTAACTCTGGCTCATCCATTTAAAGCACAAACAGCAGCTAYTTTTGTTACATGCTGGCCCCCATTCCATTCTTTCTTGTTACCTCAAACTAGGAGATTATCATTTTTCTTCTCAAGTGCAGGTTTTCTGAAAGCTTTTCATACCATCAGATGAATTACCCTATGCAAGCATTTTAAACAGAAAACATCTCCCTTTCCCTCAGAAATAAATTCAATACCTTTCTGATCAAAATGGAGCTGTTATGGATGTTTATAGACTCAAGATAGAAGAATTTCATATAGAATCCTCTTCCCTCTTCAGATACTACTTCTCATTCAGTTTTCCTGCAAAACTAGATTCATTCAGTCATACTCAGGAGGACTATCTTGCATCACTCTGAAAGGAAACTTCTCTCTTGCAGAAAGACATTTCTTTTTCTTGGTAGAATCAGATTTATTTTCCCTCAAATATGTAACGGTTCTGAATCTTACCACAAACTTAAAGCTCAGGCTGAATTAATGGTCTCTTCTCACTGAGTGACTGAATGAAGAGATACAGAAATTACTGACCCCATATTACTAACTGCAAAGGCCTCTAGGTCTCAAAGGCAGCAGTTCAAAGCAGAAAATCCTGGTCTCATTTCTGCAGACAGAGTACCCTGTGACACAAGAATTTGTGTGGGACCTTTCTACACACCTTTAGAAACTTTCTTCTTGAAGATATAAGCCAAAGATAATTGTAGTCAAACACAGAACAATTACCAACACATATGGAGGAAATAGTTGAAACTCTTTTAAATCAGAAGAAAAGRCAGTATTTTGGAAGGAATTGGAGTTCCTAAATTCCACCAGTTCTGATTTTCACATATCACCTCTGACAGCAGAGCAGACAGCTTACCTTGAACTAGATTTCACTTCTTCTTCCTGATGTTCCACAACATCATACAGTTTTGGTTGTACAAAGACTTCTTTGTTGACATTGCTCACCCAGCTGTTCTTTGCTTTGTTTGATTTGTTCTGACTCACTTCAGCTAAAACATGAAACAAGAATATAGTTGTCTCCTATAAGCCCACACAGGACTTCACAGCAAGCAAATACAATTATTTACATTCTGTCCTACAGCTACTTCATAAGTCCACTCAGAGGCACAGTCTGATTTCTGAAGAATAAATTTTTCGTACTACTACAAATGTTGCCTGCTACTGTGAATACTTCATTCTACTGCTCCAGGTATGACATTAGCTATCCATAACTGCAAACAAAAATATTTTGATGTTTAACGAGTCATTGGAATCTAACAATTGTGCAGTTCTGAATGTACCAGCATGCTCCTTTGTTTAAGTAATAAGGCTGGGAGTAATTATCATTCCATCATAGTATGGCTTTAGGTATTTTCCTCTAAGCTATACCTATTGCTGTAAAAGCTAAGCAAAACACTAGCTAGAATTTTACAGCTGATTTTCATAGCCTTTAATACCAGAAAGAGGTAAAACCACAAACACACAACTAACCACCTGTATTCCTTTTCACTTCAGGTCTTTTCTTGTTAAGTTAAAATCTGCAAACCTCCACACAGTAATCTCAACCTGCACAAGCTACCATTATGAAAACAGCTCCAGCTGCCAGAAYCCTAGGCACATAAACTTCTATGATTATCACTACTAGCTATAGTTTATGGTGCATACCTCTGAAATCCATCTGAGGACTCAGAGGTCTCAGACTGAACACCCAGAATCTGGAAGATTCATCCTAAATAAGGATGAATTATCCCTCTCATCATCATTCTCATTCTCGGGTTCTTTACATGTTTACATGTTACATGTTGTGTGGTAACACAAAGGGCCTCAGGACTGAAAATGGGAATGGGACCCAGCACTGGAAGGGGCTTTTAGTTCAATGCGTAAACACAGGACATTTTGTCCTACTAGTGTCATCAATTCAAATTCTCTCTTTGTCCATAGCATTGGGGGAGTGGAAGTTTTACACTATAAAATACACAGTAAAACCCTCCTTTGCACTTCTTTTTCTTGCTCTAAAGGCTATTTTCCCTGGAAATATTTAAAAGTTGTCTGGACACAATCCTGGGCAATRTGCTCTAGGTGGCTCTGCTTGACCAGGGGATCTTGGACTCCAGACATCATCTCCAGTCTCAACCATCCTGTGATTCTAATTCGTTTATTGCTCATAGGCAATAACATCTGACTAAGAGCMTCATCATCATGATCTCCATGCCAGCCTTTCCAAAATAGCCACAAAAGACACTAAAACCAAAAACAAAGAAAAACATACCAATTGTGGCAGGCTTCCTTCGCATGGAAGCTCTGATAATATCTGCTCCGTGTATCTTGTCTCTGTGTCTCTTTGACTTTGCTTCATAAAACCACTGTCCACTCATGTTCTTCAGCTGGACATCATCTTTGATTTTTTCTGGTAAATGTCTAGGGAAAAAGAGAAAAAAGAAAAAGAAAATAAAAAAGGAAAAGAGAGAACAGGAGACTCTACTATTTTGTATGAACAAAAGTCTGCAAAGGGAAATGCTAGATCTGCTATACATATACAAGTTTACACTGCATACTGACAGCAAGATAATAGAAGTAGGGGGAAGGATGTGGAGAAGGGTACTGAAAAAAAAACCTTTTTTTTTTTTTTTCTGCTTCATCTGTCTGCAATTTTTTAACACCAAATTGTCTCTTTTAGAAACCAGGAGACAGCATCATAATCAAAATGTTTAGGTATAAGTACAGCTTATAGGTACAAGGAAAAGGGAAAATCAGAACATATCAGTGACAGACTCTCCACAAACTGTTGACAGTTTCTACTTTAAATACAGCACACAATGATATTCTYACTCGTCTGAACTGAAATTAAATTTAAGAATATACAAGTAGGTTTTTATAAAGCAGTACCTCAACCTGCACACTAAATACTCTCTTTGGCTTCAGGCATGACCCTTAGCTTCTCATTCTGACAGCTAAATTAGCTCCAGAGAAACCAGTAGCTACTCTTACTTCTGTGATTCATTGATTCGTGTATAGTAGTTAYTTTAATGTTTTCATAGTTTAAAAACCATATTGATAATACAAGGTGTTCTCTTAAAATTTGTGCATCTTTCTAAAATAGAAAGTTCCTCACCAATGCTATCAGCTCTTCAGTATCTTTTGAACCAGGACCAAGATACAGCTTCTCAGCAGACACAACCCCACTCTCACGTGGCTGTGCTAAATGGGCACAGTCTTTTCTTCTGCAACTTCCTTTAGCATCCTCCAAATGCTGACACTTCCCCAGCACAGGATCTCTGATCTGCTCCACTGCTCTGGAAATGCTTAGAGACTTTTGTAAGGCTGCCTTGGCATGTTATTTACATCTTCTAACCTGTTACTGTTTTTAAGTATTGAAAACTACAGTGACACTGAGCCGGGGAGGAAATAGCATCAATCCTATGTCAGTTACTCYATATCCCTCAGAATCTGTTTTGTTCTAAACCCCTTATTCTGAAATAGCCCTGGAGAACTACAGATCTTGACCTCTTGCCTCTGAAGGCTGGTCCTCCAAGGTTGAAATGAAGCAGTAATCTGTTTCAATCTGAAATCAATTGAAATGAGCATAAGAAATCTGTGTTAAGATCCACATAATTAAGATATATATAGATAATTAAGACCAGGGTTGCCTTGGGGCTCAGAAGATGCATTTTTCAGGCCGTGTCTCTCATACAAACCGCCCAAAGTGCTCTTGGCAGATAGTAYCACACTTTCTGCATGTCACCTAAAAGCCTGTATGTGAGCACAAATCGCAAGGCAAGACTCAGAGAAAGTAAAAGATTATACAGTTCATTAATCTACAGGTTTCCATCACAAGCCCTGTAGCTACGTAGGAATTTAAATTCAGGCTTCAAGGTCACTCTGCCTTTATGAATCACGCTTCATGGAGCGAAGAGCTGCTGTGGGCAGTTTGGGAGGTTGTTTTCCTTCCTTATTAGCGCACACAAGTCAGATACCTGCCTAACATATGGCCTAGGGACCAACCTACAGACCAGGAAAGTAAATACGGAGATTTGGAGTACTTCACARTTAGAAAGGCAGTCAAGCCTCATCTGCCTTCTCTACTCATGACTCTTCCTTCAGCAGACAAGCTATTAGCACGGCCCAAAGGAGAAAGAAAAGCAATTGTACAAGTTACTCAGAGGCTCTGAGGCTCATTGCTAAGTGATCATCCTGTCTTCTTTAGAATAAGGACTAGGGCTTGAATACTTAAACTTTTCTTCCAAAGTAACCGTCAACAAACAGTTTTTAGGTATAAAATAAGCTCTCTGTCTTGAATCAGCTACAGGGAGTTGAGGTTGCCAAGAGCTGAGGTCGTTGCTGGCATTTCTGTGCCAGGATTCAATGGTCCATAGCAGAACTAGACAACTTCGAATTTAACCCTTCCTCCTGCTAATAACCCTGTGCTTCTCCAAGAGCCAAAACAGACTCTTCTCATCTGCTGCAGGTCCTCTGAGTTGGAGAGGGGACACAGCAGGAGCTTCTCTCTATCCCTAAGCAAACTCATTACTCAGCTCTGAACCAGCTCCTCACTGCTCCTCCAGAGCCAGCCAGCAGGTAACATGACATGCAAAAACTTTTACACAGCTGATTGCTTCCACCTTTCCCCCTCTTGACCGTATGTTATTTGCCTGCCCAGAACAGATGCTCCTCAAGGCTAGGGCCTGGCTTTTCAGCTATTTGCACAGCCCCCAGGCCAGCAGAGCTCTGCCTCCAGCTAGTGCTTCAGGGCCTGTGACAACCAGTGCCAAGGGAGGTTCTCAAGTGAGAAGGCACTGAGTCACAGGAGAGGTATTTGATGCCCTCCTCTTGTCTGACTGAGCCCTTTTAGCCCTGCTAACTCTTTTGCTTTTGTATTCGATCACTGAAACTAGGGTTCACTGGAGACCTCTGAAAGTCAACTCAGCAGATCCATAGATTGTGGTGGAAGAGGCTGGTTCAGAACACAAAGGACCACAACCTCTCAGCTAAGTCAGTGTTCATCTGCTGTCTGATCCTCTCATCTGCTACTGATAAAAACAGCAGAAAAAAGCAGAAGCCAGTATACCCCACCTCCACCAGCTCAGCAGGCCTACTAGGAGCCAAGAGAAAATTAAGCTTGCCAACACAGGCAGAAATTAAATCTATGCTTGTCCAGGATTCTTTTTCCTAGTGACCAGTCTGACCAACAGAACTTGTATTTTAAGAAGGGGCAGGAGCTCAGTGCAGTTGACTTGCAAACGGCATCCTCCGCCCTCTCTTCTCACTTTGATACTCAACTTTTAGCAGTGTGGCTTAGAGCTCATCAGCAGGAGCATTGAGCTTCCTTTGAGCAGCTAAGAACAACACAAACATTCTAGCTACTCCCAGCCTTTCCCCAGACACAAACAAGAGGAGGCAGATTTCCATTATCAGAAAGACACTTAGCTATTAGCACTAGCTCTTTTGTTTTGCAGAAACAGTTGCGGAGATTAAACGTGAATCTTTACCACGCTGTTTGAATTCTCAAATTCTGCTCTGAGTAGGTACCAGCAGAGGTACCAAAGTGAACCGTTTGGCCAAGGTTTGCTGCCATGCATTAGACTGTACTTTACCTTGAAAGACACCATGCAGAAGTCAGACTGTAGCCACCCTTTTCCACTGCTGCTTGGGCCTCCCAGCATTTAACGGGACTAGAAGCCAACAGTGGATTCTGTGCCAGCTCTCCTGGTCAACCGAACGCCTGGCCAAGCTGCCGTTGCACTATTTGCTCTTGGCCGCAAGCAAACTAGTAGGCATCCAGCGTATGAGTTAGATTGCAGGCTCGGTTTGCAACGTTTGCARCTAGGAAAAATGTAATCATTGCTGTGTGTATGAAGCAACCACTTATTTGGGAGCCCCTGAGAGGCCTGTTAAAAGGCCCATTACCCTACGCTGCAGCGCTCAGGGTGATCTGGCCTGATGTGATAGCAAAGCCAGGGCTTCTTTCTTCTACAGCAATGATAAATTCAAGAAAATGAGAGTGTACTGTTAAAAAATCGACTCTAAAATCCTCTTTTAAATAAGCCAGGAGTCCTCTGTTCACTTGAAATGCTGTTTCCAATGCGTCTCAGAGCAGCATTTTTGATGTGGAGAAGACAAAGCTTTCCCCTCGGTACATGCAGGTTTCCAGCGAAGAAGCAAAGCAACGAGAGCAGCTCTGCAGGCAAACAAAAACCCTGCAGATACCAAGGGAGCCGGAGCTCCCCACCTCGGGAAGGTCTGATAAGCAGCTAAATCACATGGCACCACAGCAGGCACAGAATCTGCTCCTGGGTCTTACCAGTGCCTGTAAACCTTGCTATCAGCAAACCCACCGCTTATCTCGTGCTCCATAGGCCAGTGTGATAGCTGCTGTGAAGGCAAACTGATACCAGCTTCTGTTTCTTTTTCTTCCCCCTCCTCTTTTTCAGTGACTCTTAATTCCTTCTTCTTTACCCCCCTTTATTAAAAGTTCTCATTATAAACCACCAGAATTAGTAGCCTGTGACAGTCAACAACTTAGCAACTTTTCATTCCCTTTCTCCTCAAGGAATGGCTTCAACTGAGCTGTGCAGACAGGAGAGTCTGTGCCGTGCTGGGATACACAGAGACTTTGTGTAGGAAGTTAAGAACAACTTCAATCAATCCATGCTTGGCTGAAAGAAATGGGATTTATTAGTGTGTCAAGCACACAGCCCTAAAACTAAGAAAAATGAAAAAAGTGGCTGGTGGCAAAATGAAAAGTTTATTAAAGTCTGATACAGCACCCTATAATTGCACATATTATGTATACAAGTGCATAAATGCACTTCAAAAACCTCTTTCCTGCAAACCAAATGCCAAACAGGTGAGGAAGAGGAGAGGCGACAGAATTCCCTCAGTTTATCCTCACTTTTATTTACTGCAAACGTAATAAAACTCAAACCAGCACAAGAGATGAAGGATATAGGTTTGGGATCACCTTCCAGATGCCCACAAACAAGATGAAGTTTCGGTAGTGCCACAGTCCTGCAAGAACAGGTGTAAAAGGATTTAGGAGCTGGCACTGTACCTAGCAGAAATGTTGATTCCTTATTTTTCCTTCCATGAGACTGGACTGGGAAGTGACTATAAAAGATTTACAAGGCAAAAGGAGTAACTGTTTAAACACTGAACCCTGTATGAACACATTTCTTTGGTCGGCCTGTATCTAAATAAGGCGTAGGAAAAAATGTCCTGGTACTTGTTTGAGAACTACGCCCAAAAGGTTTATAAAGGGCCACTGGGGATATGGTGAGTTGGGGATGTGGGTAGCTACACACCTACATCACAGAATCCCGGAATGGTTGAGGTGGGAAGGGACCTCCAGAAACCATCCAGTTCAATATATGGGATTCAAAGCTTACAGTTTGATTAGTAAGTGCAATAAAGCTACTTACACTACAAGGTTTTAGTGGGAAGAATTAAAGCAGACCTAAGGGATCATGTAGTTCCTCCCCATCCCTGTTAGTAGTCCAGTCATCAACATCCCTTGTAACATCCCTACATTTGGGTCTTGGCATAGTGAGTTTCTGAGTAGGTAAAAGCAGCCAAGGACATGAGAAAAGAAGTCAGTCCTGTTCTGTTTGTTGTCCTGTATATTCTTCCTTTTTGCCCTTWTCCAAGGGTGTTAGGTTTACTAATTAATTAATCTCAGTTAGAAATTTGGATTCTTGGAGAACTAGCTACGCTGTAGCCAGCATGCCAAGCTAGACAGTGACAACATTTGTTCTGAAGTGGAAAGGGAACATATGGACAATTTCAGGCCTGAAGTATCATAACGACTGAATTACACACTTGCAGGTGTCAGACAAGTCAACTGAACCACAATCCCAAATTCTGTGCTAAGTGGCCATAATTAATTTGCCCCCTGGCCAAATTTACCCTGCTATTTATCATTTCCTTTTACAAYATTCCTCATAGAAGACTGCTATGCCACATTTGCAGCACACAGGTATATATCCTCATATTTCCTTTAAATTCTACACATATCTGAGCCTGAAGATGAACTCATTCATTTTTGAATGCTTTTCTACTATTAGACCTCCAGTCAGACTTGCCTTCCTACTATTAATTGCACTCTCAAGCTTGAAATAAGCTTAGTTTTTCAAGTCCTATATTATATATCAGGTAATCAGATATCCTCCTGACAGACACAGAACACATAAGCTTGCTTGGACATTTCTCACCTAGTGGAAGCATGATTCATGAAACCTGTAGCTTGGATATTGAGGTTGCAGCATACAGGGGGTARACTGTCAGGGCATGCCAGTCTTCACAGTTTCCACGTATTTCAACTGTTTTTATTTCTATAATAGCCTTGCAGCATCTGATTTCCCTGTTATAAAGAATTTGCATGGAGGTTCCCAATGGCCTGCAACTCCCTCTTTTTATATATAGCCAAATCCAACACTCGTTCCGTGACACAAGGATTAAAACAAAAGCCTTTGCAATGAAAGAACAACTATGATGCAACAACGCTGCACCTGGAAGAGCGATACAGGATGACTTGAACCTGAGAAAGACAAGTTGCTGGAGAAATGTGCCTTCTGCCACAGGGTCTGCCAAACCCAAGGGCACCAGGGCTCTCTTGCACTCTACAGGCATTAAAAACAGGACTATGGAGCACAAAAACAATGCACAGGACATATACAAACAGCTGTAAATGAGCAGGAGAGCCTGCACCACTGCTTTCTTTACCCTGCCAGCATGGGTCCCTCTGAGAAACTGATGTTATGCTGAAGAGAAGGTTGCATTTTAGAATTTCATGACTAATTTGTTCTGAAGATAAGTCAAATCATCCATCCACTATTACTGGACTAGTTAACAATCCATGGTTGGAAGATGAGGTATCAGCCTAATTTCCGCTATAGCTCAATGCCATATTTGTTACCAAGCCCGAGTCCTAAAAATACAATTCATTAAGCTTCAAAGGGAGTTTGTTTGTTATGCATTTGTTTTCATTTTTTTGTTTGCTCTTTTTTTAAAATCATTTCCAGAAAAAAAACTATGAATTCTATCAATTTTATTATTAGCATCACTTGCTTATTTCTAGGTTAATGTGAATGAACAAACCCAGAGACCTAAGGAGGACCCTAGTCCTCTCAGAGGAACCTCAGGATCGTGTTGCCAGAGGGGGTGCCCTGACAGAATTTTAATACATCCTTAGCTCCAGGTTTAAAGAAGTCAGCATTATTGACCTGATGGCCTTGATGCAAAGTCCAAGCAGGCTTTCCMAAAAGTTTCTATTTGGATCAAAATGGACAGCACACAGTCTAAGAGATATAAGTTACTTAAATGCACAAGCTGTTGTTCTCTGTACTGGTCAGGACAAATACACTGTGGTCTCACCTTCAGGCACATCTTACTTATTTTTCATTCATTTAAAGACACACATATTTTAATCATGATGCWGTGCATATATTAAGAGATTTATAAGAAAAAAAAAGAGGTGGAGAGTTTCTGAAATAAACATGTTGGCAGAAGTTTTAAGGAATCTCTAGGCATTGCGGGGCCAAGAGGACAAACAATCCTTCAGAACTGGTGTGTAACTATCAGGCTACACAGACACTGCAACAACAGCTTGCAGGCATGAACTGTTAAATTAGTTTTGGGCAGATGCCAGCTCAGGTACTGAGGACACAGCCCCTCCTGAACATCATGAGAAAGTTAAGTGCACGCAATACCCAGTAGAACCAGAGTCCCTTTCCCTGAACCCTTCCGAGATATACAGGGCCACACCAACGTATGTATTAAAGGGGCTTGGCACCTGGCAGTCACCACCCACCACACAAACAGCCCTGCAGCAGAATTTCCCTATCGTTGGCCTTCTTGAACTCACAGAACAAGCCAATGCTCCTGAACGCAGCCCATGAAAAGCACTTCCAGGAGGTTCTGCTGGGAAAGGAAAGCCCGGGAGCCACAGTGGCAACCACAGCAGTTTTCAGCCTCAGACACGCTGGTGCCAGGGACAATCACTGTGGAAGAGTCTCCCAACCACAGTGCAGAACGAGAGCATTTCTGTTCCATGTTACCGTCACCAGAAAGGGCCCTGAACTCTGCTCATTCTGAGCTTCAAAGCTGTAAGGAGAGCTCAAGGCTGCAGCTGCTGCCAGGAAATTCGGTTCCACGCTTGGGCCATTCGCTTGTTTGGTTCTGAGCAGGAGCAGAGGGTATCTGTGACTCCCGGAGAGAAACAAGGACACTAGGAAAAAGAATTAGCAATATGGTAAGAAACAGCTTCTCTACAAGCTGTTACTCAGCTCTTTATTTTATGCTATTCCCCCTTCCCAAAATATTGCCATTTGGGGGCTGACAATTCCTCCTGGGGGAAATGAAACTGAAAGAGGGATCTCAGCCCAGAAAAAAAGAAGGATGCAATGTTTTTCCATTTCCCTGCATTATTGCACCCTTCTGCAATCTGAGATTTCTTCATCTCACTATTGCCTGTAAGAAGAAAACGTGAATATCCCTTTTCCTTTGGAAAAGCTGGGCAGAGGTCCCAGGAGAAATGATGCACCCTCACCAAAGCCATCAGCCTGCTGTAGATGAGTGCAAGAGGAGAASGGCCGTTACTGCACTCTCTCTCACACAAAAGAGTTCAAGCAGAGAGCCTAAGGAGGCTGCAAGGGCAGCCCAGCAGGCAGATTTACTGGGAATGAGCACAGAAGTTCATGGCAGAGCTGTTCTGTGTTAGCAGAGAAGGGATCTCATTGGGAGATTTGTAAAATTCCACCAGGAAGTCACTGAAAGAGGAGTCTGTAGAGCTACCGGTTTGTCCGTGCTCCAGCAACGCGGCACAGGAATTCCACAGATGGAAGAGATTATTTCAACGCCCTTCAAACCTCAGAATTTCCTTCCAGCAGAGAAAAGATCACATTAAAAAGTCTTCTATTATATGCACATACAAATAACACCTTGTCAGKGTGTGATGTTTGGATGATGACATTCTTGGAATCTCCCGAAGTCTGCAAGGCTGTAATATTCAAACTAAATAATTATATCGCTTTGACTGGAGATGTAATTCAGATAATCTTTTAAATATCTACTATATGAAAAGCAAGTTCAACGTGTCATATCTATAGCAAAAAAATCAGTTGCAGATATATGCTTCCAACTTCTGGTTTCTGAACATACTAAGTTTTGAGAAGAAAGATGTTATGGCAGAAGCCAGCACACTGATTATAGGCTGGTACAACCTGCAGTCCTTCGCATTTTCCACCACACCCTCTTAAACTAGAATTACAAATGGCAAAATCAAAATTATTCAGACAGAAAAACATGTCCACAGCACTTTTCAGACCACTACTATCAGCTGGATTTGCAGTGCCTGGGAGTATTCCTTTCCACAGACACTATTTTCAAATTCACATCTACAATTACTTTTCTTGGGCATTTTCAGACCTGGCACTGCTACTTCCACTGCTTTTCCTCCTATCTCAAGRTACTCACATTACTTCAAGCTATTCCAGAATTACAGCCCATCTTTCTGTATCTACAAGAGAGACAAGACCATGTTGACCTTCTAGCATCTAAGGGTACTTTTTCATTCTTCTACTATTTCTCATTCTGGGATAACTTCCTTCACATGAGGGAAAAGATGGACTGCCACCCAACCTTGTCAACCTAGTCTTGACCAACCACCTTTCTGAACTAARCTGCTATTAGTACTGGTGCAGATGACTTACCCAAAGCCAAGTCACCTGGGCCATGCTGCTTTCAATGCATATATCTATAATAAAGGCAATTACCCTAACAGTAGCTCTAGGAAAACCTCGGAGCATACAAAACATCCCAAATAAAAATTTCTAACCAACTACTTGCTCCTTCTTTGATACCACAGGAAAGAGAGCAGTATTCTGCATTAACCAGGGATTGCAAGGACTCCTCTTGCCACGGACTATAGTGTTTGGAGCCATAACCTCACTTGTTTCCAGCTCCAGTGCTCCATACATTTCAGACAACTTCTTCACTCAACCATATCACTGGCTGCACTTACACTGACATTTTGATCTGGGACACTAGTACTCTGTCTGAAAAGAAATCCCCAAAGAAAGAAATTTAAAAGAAATCTTTTACTTACTAAACACTGGTTCGATTTTCAGATGCACACCCAGCATCTGTTCACATGGGTCCTTATGGAGTTGTAAGGATGCAAATCAGCTAGTAGCCTTCTGGACAGTACTGAACCATTAGCATGGTATGAACATTTTGGCCGGGGCCTACCCTAAATCTAGCCCAGGGTCAAAAATTCCCCAACTGTTATGTAGTGTGGGATATAGAAGCCTCAGGAACAACTGTTTTGATTACTCCCATGATCTGAATAACTTGCTAAACCAACTGTGTACATCTCCCCTGAACAGCAGAGGGGCCTCAGTGCCTTACCTGACTCTCTCCTCTTCAGCTCTTTTAAGCTCTGCATCCCGTTGAAGCACCTTCATTATGGCCTCTTGCTCTTCCTCCGTTAGGAAGCTTAGGTCGATCATCTTGGGAGGGCAGGGGGAGAAGCGTCCAGGAAAATCTTAAATCCTGCTGAGGAGGATAGTCTTGTAGTCCCTTTTAAAGGTATAAAAGAACCAGAGTCTTTTTCAGCAAGCACTGAGAAGMCTGTACAAGGCTGCAGTCAGCAGTATAAAGAACCCCAAATTCTGCTCTCCTGCAGTAGAGTATGTGCATGCTTCTCTAGATAAGCAGCTTTTGATAAGGTGTTGCATTCCTGCATGCTTCCATGAGGTCTTCTGAGCTCGCCCTCTCAGCTCTGCTTCCTGGAGTTACAGTTCACTGACCCAGCATATTCAGCGTGTAGGAGCAGCCAAAGCATCMCCTAAAAATAAAAAGAGGCAAAGAAGAACAAGGTCTAATATCAGGGATCAAGGAGGTAGATTATGTATGCAACTTTTTAAATTAAAAGAAACAAGTTTTTCCCTGAGATTAAACTACTTTGTGAAGTTCAAATGGTCACTTCAGGTCAAACCTGTTTTACAGGCTTCTTGAACAAAGTGGTCATGAAAATATATTCCTGCCCAATATAGTGACTCACTCCCTGAAAGACAGAATGAAGTGTCACTGAAGTGCAAAATTTAAAAATAAATGATAGCTGCATCTTAGGTTTTCCTTAAAGTCAGCAGAACAATTTGGAGGAGGGAGGGAAGAAAATGAAGAACATGAACCATGCAACCACATGAAGTTAAAAATGCCTATTCACGGGCACTGAGATTATACCCAAAGTACCCATTAAATATGTATGTCTGCAGTTATCAAACTATAAACTATGTTTATGGTTATCAAAGAGAAAAGCCCAATATCTCACTGCTTCTTAGAAAGATTTTTAAAACTAAGAGGCAGATAGAGTGAGAGTGAGATAGAGACAATCCAGTGGTTTTCACAAGTCAGTGTAGACTTCGACTGTATTTCTGAACTCTCTTCACAAGGGCTTGAAGTTGAGTTTTATTTACTTTAAATATAGATTTAAAAAAGAGCTTGCCTGATTTCCTTATCATTTGCACATTTCTAGGGTGCCATCTTTGAGTAATCACCAACTAAACAGAGCAAAAGAACCACCCCATTGAACTGTTAGACCCAACTCCACTCCTACAGAATTCCCTGCCCTCCACACCTGCCTTCCCACTCCAGGTCTTCAAAGGCTCCTTTCCCCTTCCAGCAGATCACAAAGGCAGCCAGCAGCACTAGCCCCGGAGGAAAAATCCTATGGAAGCTGGCAGAGTTCTGCCAAATGCAACATGTTCTGGCAGCGAGACGGGAGGAGACCGGGAATGTTTTAGAGGAATTTACATGTTCCAATCTGAGACTTAGGGAGCATGTCCTCAACTAGGGCAATGCCTCTTTCTGCAGGACAACAAAAACAATGCATTTAGTACACAATAAAATCTCCCAGAGGGAGGTGGACCATCCTTTTTGTCACGTCTCTTCATTGCACAGGTCTCACCACAACCTTTCAGGTTTGAGTCTCCACCTTGGATCTTTGTGGTACAACGTGACCATCCAGGAGACAGGCTGCCTCCAGAGCAGGGATCACAGGAGCATCATTTATGCTTTAGCGAGTCTTTATGCTCGCTACTCTGGCCACAAAAATCTGGAAACAGCTCAAGTAGGAGATTAAAACAACATATTGACAAGGGAAATTTCCTTCTCTAAAGGTAACAGCTTTTGTTATGGATGGAGAAGGTATCTCCACTCAGGTTAATGCAGCTCTCTTACTAATAAATAAATAAATAAATAAATAAATAAAAGAAGCAGACAATTTTGTGAGTGGTGCTGTCAGTTTGGAAACATCCTTCTTAACAGCTCATGTACTAGTTTGCTTCTGCAGTATTAATTCAAAGCTCCACATGAGGACTGACTGGCAGGTGCATGTCTGCCAACGAGCACCAACAATTATGTTGTAGGCACAAAACCTGGCACCTCTGAACTGGAATTGTCAAGGTTTTTGTCTTGGCGGTCAGGCAAGTTTCTTGCCTCAGGTAAATCAGGTCTGTAGGAAAGCTGTTGTAGGACTGACGTTTTCTGATGTCTTTTTCTTTGCTTTTGAAAGGAGTGTTATATTGTCTCACATATTAAATTGAAGATCTAAAGGAAACAGATGGACAGTATTCACAAAACAAGCTTCATCCATGTCTCAGAGTATTCAAATTAATAAAAATAATAAAAGCAGAACTTCAGTCCTCCCCAGCTGAGTAACATCTACGTGTCCGCACAGAACAAGATGCCCTTTCACTAAACTTTTACAATACTGCCATTCAATAGGACAATTTCTGCAAGCACCTTGCAGCTCCCAGTGTGTTTTTAGGAAGCTGCAAGATACCACCGGCCTTGCCAGGCACTCAACCAAACCCTTCCTGGAAGACATGGTTCAATGTTGTTCCCTGATTAAACATTAGTTCATGGAGCTGTTTTTCCTAAGTGGATCGTGCTTCCTATGCYTCACATTACCTGCACCACATTCTCCTCCCAACACTTTGGAGGAGACTCCTGCTTGAATTCTGTTCCAGTGATGCATCTGCACTTATCCTGTGCTCAGATTCACATGATATTCACTTACCTGATTTTTTTTCTCCTACCATATGGCTGTTTATGGCTGAAAACCTACCCAGAATTAAGCAGTGCAGTTGAGACCCTTCTAGGTTCCTTGGTAAAGCAAACAACACAATCCTTCAGTTTAGACATGTCTGAGTACTTGAAAAACTAGCCCCTGATTTCACTGGGCTGTGGGTTTTTTTTTTTCTTTAATGTTTATCATCTATATAATGCAAAGCCTGTATCTGGTTTCACCCTGATAAGAAAATGTTAGTCATTGGCACCACACCAGTTACAAGCTGAAAACAGTAGCTCAGTATGAAGAGGATGGAACCCCCTTTCTGTGTGGGTGGACTTGGCCACGTCTGTGAGATCCCCTGATACAACTTAGTGCAAGACCCTCTTTCTGCAAAGACTGCAAATACCGATTCCTCATGCATATGGAAGGGAAACAGTAAACAGTGTTTGTTACAGCTCTACAGCCAAATTTCAAAATCTCAGAGAAAATTTCAGAGCCCTTAAGTGTCAAATAAGACTTCAAGGACCACACCGACTAACCTAGACTAATGTATGGAAATGGATACAAATACTACACTGACAGGTTCCTGGGGAAAACCCATCACATATGTTTCAGAATAACATTTGTGAGTCTTCGGTTGATGATGATGACGATGATTTTGTTTCTTAAACTTTACATTCAAATGCAGCTACATGAAAAACTTCCCCTCCATGAAAGTTTTCTCATCCTTGTTATAAAATATAATTTCAGACTTCTATTTATGTAATTCATGCATCAAAGCTTCTATGGTTTGGCAATAAAAGAAACAAAAAGGAGGCCTGAAATAGGAGTTTTTTTCCACTCCTAAGCCACTCACAACTCCCAAGAGCTTTAGGCCCAGCAATCAGCCAAACATTTTTCCTGTAAAATGTCTCAGAACCTTCTTGGGCAGTTATACTTCTTAATTCATTTAATTAAAGTTTTAGAGTTTTTTAGAACATAATCAAGTCATAAAAGGAAGGACGACCTTGTTCACCAATTACGTTGCCCGCTCTACGCAGAATTCCACTCCCCCTTCCCTCCCCACTGTCTTCTTCAAAGTACAAGCTGGGAATCGTAATTATAACACTGTGCTCCACACGCTAAGAGGTACCACATCATGAGGTACCATAATCACAGCTTAGATCTGTGTGTTTTCACTCAGCACATACATATGGGATGTAATGAGAGAGAGGCTGGACTCAGTTCAACAGCCAGATGAGAGGCTGAACAGCAAAACCCCAGTCACTTGTTCCACCCAAGCCAACGAGGCTTCCTTAAACACGCAGCAGCTGAGTAATATCCTCAATTTACAAGGCAAAATTATTTTTACCAAGTGCTGCTTGTACAGCAGAGCTTGCCAGAGCTTACTTGGCTTACAAGTGTAACCCATGGGCTCTTGAAAATAAGTGGGTCTGGTTTGATGCGTTTGAAAGCTACACGCTTTCCTAACGTTTTTCCTCCAGTGCTGCAGCACATCGGCGCTAGCAGCCAGGATGAGCGGGAAGTCGGGACCTCGGGCAACAGGAAGCTGAGGAAGACAGATAAATCAGTGTGCGACATAACAATTGCCTCGGCAGAGAAACTCATTATTCTTAGAAAAGAGGTAACTAAGTTTGGTCTTCATGCCCAAGCCTAGGAAGAAATAATCTTTTTTTTTTCCCTTTTTGGAAGCAAGGAAGCCAGGTGAGAACTCCAGGTGTAATGAAATTGGCCCCTGCCACCCTGGGAGCTCTGATCAGACATTGCCAAGGAGACAGACAAGTCACAGCCCGGCAGAAACTCCAGGTTTCTCAACAAGTTTAATTTTCCACTGAAATTTATGCAATACAATTACAGGAAATTCAGCTCCATCCGAAGCTTACAGAATATAATTTCTGTATAAACACACAAGAGGCAAATCTCATGGAGCTAATTAAGCTAAATGCCAGTGTTGACATAAGCACAAGTAGTCTAAGCCACCATGAACACATGTGTAGAAGCTCAGAAGCCTGAGGAAATCTAACAGGCTCCAGTTGAAGTAATGAAGACAGAAAACCTAGTAACATCCAAGGGAGACTTGAGTCATCATATGAGAGATTTATAACATGGTTGCCTGTAACTCTGGGGGTCTGAACTCAAAATCCCCAAGGCCTGTTGTCATTTTAATACTTGATGGGGCAGAAAGGAACAAGAACCATCCAGTAATATGTATCTATCTGTAGCCAACCCAACTGCGACTGTTATCTCTCAAGAGCCATTATCACCACATATCCATCATGGTAAGAGCTACCTGTACCCAGCATATCATATCTCTAACAGTCCCAGAGATTACATTAGGGAGCAGTATGTGTCAACTAATGTGTATTTAGTCAATGGGAGGTAGAGAAATTCTTATTTAGCTAGTTGTGAACAGCAGGGTGGTTGTAGAACAGAGACTGCTGCAGAAGTGGGGGATATTTATCATGAGGCAACAGTGAGACTGCGCTTACAAACACAAAAATGCTTTGTTTAATTCCAGTAATAAACCTACTGCTTTCCTATGCAATATTAGCAG